TCTCTCTCTCTCTCTCTCTCTCTCTCTCTCTCTCTCTCTCTCTCGTATTTTAGGAAAAAGTGTACAGGGTGTTCAGGGTCTCACTATCAGATGAGATTCGTAGTGATCTGCCTGCTTACAGCCTCCCAAGAGCTGAGATTATAAGCACCAGCCACCACGCTCAGTCTCAATTGCCACTCAGTCTCTTGCCGGCTCAGAACGCCCCCCCTGGGGGGGGGCACAGCTGGCACAGCAGGTCCGGGGATCAAACCCCTGGCCCCTGTGCATGCTTGCAGGTGCTTTAATCCACTGAGCTATTTGGCTGGCCCTGCCCAAGTTTCTTAACAACCTACATCCTAGCACTACTTTGATTATATATAAAGATATTGACAAGGAAGAACGCACTGATACAGCTACAGATAACAGCCATAAACAGAAATACGCAGCATAGTTACATTAATAGGAAGAGGGTGAGAGAGAGAGAGAGAGACTGAGGCAAATGAAGAAACAGAGGTGGATTGAGGTCACCGAGCAAAAACCAAAATCTTGAATTTTCTCATTTCTGAATGGCACAAGAAAATTTGGAAGAAATATTTTATAACTTATTATGATTACATGTCCCTGACTCTTTCTGTACTTCAAATGATAACTCAGCCTCCTTCTTACCTCTCTCTTGTCTGGTGAGGTTCCTAGTACCTCTCTGTCTAGTTCAATGATCAACACACTTTTCTTTCAACTTAAACTCTCCATAGCCCCTCTGCTATTCCACCAAGGCTATTTCTTCTCTGCTCTTGCTACTATGTGTCCATCGCTCTGGTAGGAAGCACTGAATTTTAACCAGTTGTGGTTTGCAAAGCTGACTACCCAAATGACTCTAGTGAAAGTGGCTCTTTGCCTTAGTGATTCACTCACTTCAAAAATTTCCAGTTCAACTGGAAGAGCAGCAGTCCTGAGACCTAAAACACACCTCGGATCCCGTCCTTCCCTAGTTTGAGATCCTGAACAACTAGGCCTCAGGGCCCCACTCGTAGTCAATTCCCATCTGACCCAGCTCCCAAGGCCACGGTGAAGGTGACATGGAACAAGACCAAGGCACACCACAAACACACAGCAATATGCAAACGAAAGGGAACATGCAAAACACCTGCTGGAAACTGCCTCCCCGGGAGATGGAAATGGGACGGTGTCCTCACCTCTGGATTCATGGAACTCCAGTGTGACGTGAGCATCGAATCCAAGGCTGAAGTAGTTATTGAAAACGTTCAGAGGCAGCTGCAATGACAAACAGAGGCAAAGATATAGCTGTGCACATCAAGTGAGGAGGAGAAGAATCAAAGCTGATGCCAACCACCTGTCTCAGAGGCGATCCCTAAAAGAGTCCGGCATAGCTCAGAGCAGGTAGTGCAGAAGCAGAAGAAACGTGGTTCTGGAATTGAGTCACGAGCAAAAGCCGAGATCAATAGCAAGAACTATGAACAGCATAGGAAATAAGGTCTATAAATACAAATTAAGAATTAAGAACCATTCTCATATACACCGAAATAACAGAAACTTGTTATGCTGAGGAGTGCATACTTGTAACAGTGATGTGGAACAATTCATTAAATGAACTTAACAGATTCCATTGTAAGGATCATGTCTAAGTATCCTACTCAGTGCATATACTTTGTTGAAGACTTTATGGTTAGGGCCAGGGATCTACCTCAATGGCATAAGCACCTGCCTGACAAGTGTAAGGTCCTGAGTTTGATCCCTAGTACCGAAGAGAGAGAGAGAGAGAGAGAGAGAGAGAGAGAGAGAGAGAGAGAGAGAGAGAGAGAGGGAAAGAAGGAGGGAG